GTCCCTTTTTTATTTTTTGTAAATATAGGTTGTAATATATCTTTTTGTTCAGGAACAAACACCGTTAAACAATTTTATTATTTGATACACCTCAAAGCTCTTATTCTGATTTTCAACCCCTTTGGCTACATACGGGATCCTTTTCAACTTTTGGATAAATTTTAGTTTGCATCTAAAACGGCGCTTAGAAATATTTTTCCTCCTTTCACCAACTGTGAAAATTTATTTCCGAAACAACCTATTTGTATCAACCAGAGCACAAATTTCTCTCTTGTGTTCTCTAGTCTTTCATCTGAAATTAACAAAGAATTAAAAAGAATTTCCCTAAAGAATAAAAGCATGCTTTCAAATCAGCAGTTTTTGTGATTACACTATGAGATGGACCTTAAGTACATTTCCATTTAAGTGAGCTTTCCGTTTGTGTGATCTTATCACGCTTCACAAAGGGAAGAAGGCCTGGCTCCCGAAAGACAAATTGGTTGTCAATCACCTCTTTTCATTTTCTTACATTCTAGGATTTTGGAAAACAGGAAGCAACAGGTGTCTTTTGGGGGCTAGCATGCCACGTTTAACCCCCACAATTGTGTGAAGTTTTGACCCCAGACGGCAATTTTGAAATCGATGAGTCTTTCTCTCGGGAAAGAGATAAGTGCTGAAATAAAAATTTTAGCTAAACACAGACAAATGAAACTTGAGCTGAGTACACAAAGAATAAATGAAACTAATCTACTTGTATTCAGTCCTAGCGCAGGGTCAGAAACTCCCCATTCCTCCATGAACATAATATTTAATCCTAAACGACTTATAAGTTAATCATGAAATATTATTACATCATAAACTGTTATAATAATAAAGAAATTCTGTCACGTCACAGAGTAGAAAAGGAGAAGACTGGTGCTGCCATCTATTGGCGTGGTACCCTCAGTGTGGGCGCCGGTATATATTATATACCGGTTTTAAAATCGTATAAATAATCTGCTGTTAATTATCACTTCTGACTGAAATGAAGTAAATATATAAGATTCAGCATGTGTACGTCATATATTTGCAGATTTTGAATTTTTTCTTTCCCTCCAATAGAATTTATCAATCTTCCAACATGATACCTTGGAACGACGTATATTAATTTCATAACTGTAAAATACTGAGCATTCATAGGGTGATGTTGCCATTTAGAATCGAAAGAAAATACTAGACACTTACGATTATAGCTTTTGGTGTAGAAAAATTAGCATTTTTTCGGAGGTTAAAAAATTGACAAACAACCGGTATATATTATATACCGGTGCCCTTCAAAGGGTTAAAGGGTTAAACTTACTTGATTCCTTCTTATAGAATCTGAAATTTAGGTTTAATCCAAATATAATTTGCCCATTTTTTATGATTTATTTTTAAAATTAGTATTTTTTAATATTTTTTATAAATATTTCAAAAAAATTTTTGTATTATAATTTATAAAATTTTTAACATCATCCTAAAGTAGATGTATTTTTAGGCACACTTGCAAAATATTAGCGTTTTATTAAAAATTTTCTAAGATATACAGTCAAAAGTCTTTAATCCGGACTCGTCGGGACTTCGGCGATTCCGGATTATAGATCATCAGTTTAAATCTGGTAAGATGGCATGCAGAAATTATAAAATTAAAAATATGAAACCGTAATTTATAAAATAATGAGCAATTATGATCTAAAGGGTATCAAAATTTACAAAAAGCGAAGCTTAATATTTACTTGTTTACTTTATTAAACATTTCTTTCAACGCGCGCATGCGTAAAGCATACCTTACGCATAGCCGAAATTAGAAAATTGCAACCAGAAAACTATTTGATTTGTATTCATGATATTTATAATGACGAGGAATTTGATTTAAATCATATCAAAGACGGAGTACATCGAGATTAAATACTACATTTAGTAAGGAATTATAAGCCGAATCAAATAAAAACATCTGCCCTGAAGATAACAATAGTGCTGACAGATCAACTTCCAGTTCATTGCGCGCCACGACGTCCCCCCCCCCTCGCGCAGAGCAGCGTGAAATTGATAAACAGATTTCGGAACGGTTAGATAAACAAAGGATATACCTTTATCCACTTTTTGTTTTATGGACATCGAAACATACTTTCGTTTTCTAGATCCTTTGAGAGCTCCAGCATTGGAAATTCTATTTGACATAATCGAAAGTTCAAGCTTACTTTTATAAAATTGCTCTTACAGTCTGCAAAAAAATAAGCCTGATCCAATTTGAAGATTAAGGAACAACGCAATCATCAACATTAACTGAAATAGATAAATAGATAATTTTAGCTTATACCGTTTAATGTATAATTTTAGCTTATACATTAAACGCGCACGCGAAAACGTATTCTGTGCTTGCGCAGACGCATATGCGCAGTCGTAAATGTCTTGCGCGCACGCGTAAACGCCTATGACGCGCATGCGTCGACGCAGGCGCATGCGCAGAAAGATTTTAGCTTTGAAGGTCCAGATTATGGGTGTCCGAATTAACGACTTTTGACTGTACATGAATTTATGGCTAATCTTTGGAATATGGTAACAGGTAGTTTGGCAACATTTTGGTAAGGTGATAAATGTTACTAGCTAGGACTTTAGCAGTGTACATGGATAAAGACAAGAGTGTGCGCAATGCCATTTTTGTGCAATTCTGGGATTTTTTTTAAGTGAAAATAGGTCGACGTGTACATGGACGATACCGTATATGTGCAATTCTTAAAAATGCGGCCAAGCAGTGGGCGATTCTGCACTTTCTCCCAATTTCGCACCTAATCTTTGTCATGATTAAGCATTTTTGTTCCATAAAAGTTCCAGCATAAGCGTAATTCGGCTAGCAGATTGTTGGAAAAAAATACTGAGTAAATAAAAAACATGCCTTTACTTCGTGAAAACAAAATGACATCCAAAACAAAACTAGCAGGTTGCTGTAACAGGGTTGGTCGCCAAAAAATCTCCAAGTTACCATAATTCGAAGATTAACCGAATTTACATTTTGGAGCATTTTAAAATGTGGCATATTTAATATACTCGATAACAATAATGTCACTTACACACTTTGTTAAAATTATTTGAAAGTATGAACAATGACTTTTCCACTTGTGGACAATGAAGAAAAAGGAAAGGAAAATAGGTTGCTATAAATTAAGAAGTTCGCCAAGTGAATTATTTTTGGTGCAAACTGAGAAAAATATGACAAGATTTCTGCATAAATTTCTCACCAAAAATTACAAAATTTAATATCTAGGCATAATTTGAGTCACAGAATCAAAATATGAAAAAAAAAATTGTTACTTTATGTCAAAAAACGTCCGATTTTGTGTCAAAATATCTATATTATAACAAAGCTATATATAAATCTAATATTTATCTTAAGTCACGCTTTTGAGGCACGGAAAACGCAATTTGAATTTCGTCAATCGGTCCAGTAGAACAGGAGATATAGAACTGTCCCCCCCCCTTTTTTTTCCGCAATGTACAATCATAAAATGATTAGCAACAGTAATATTTACAATTGAATGACAATAATTATTAATATTATAGAATTTTGTTTTTGATACGTAAGAAGTATTTTTTTGGTTTTGTGATGCGATGTTGTGTACAATAAAATATATACAGCTAAATACATTTTCTCATATATAAAACGAAAACAATTCATGCTTAGTAATGGTTGAAAAAAATGCTGCATAGAGATGACTGGACATTATGGTGTAATGGATAATCGGATGGAATTTTCAGAAGCACAAACAGCTTGATAGTTAAACATCATTTATTCTTGAATGACAAATTGCTTGATACATATTTGTAAAAGACTATGGGTGGTAAACATGCCCATAACTTTAAATATGCAATTACATTTTAACTAATTACGACTAACTAGAAAAAGCTGAGTGGCAAGCTGTCAGCACACTGGTGAGGAGGCAAAAGGGAGGAACACTATTCAGTTATTAGTTATTTATACTAAAAAGGTATACAAAGTACAGCTAATCTGTGATTGGTTAATTTTGGGTTTTAGTTCCATTTATCAAGCAGCATTATGTAATTTGGAATGATCTCGAATTTGGGAGAAAGGATGAACTTAAAGGAAGAGCACCAAACATAGAATGTTAATTTTTTAAGTTGCCAATTATTCTTAAAGTTTGTGCAATTCTTTGTCTTGTTATTTTTGCTACACAAGCCAAAATAATAAGTGAAAGAATTGCACAAACTTGGTATTTATGTACCGCCAAAAGTCGCCAAGGGGTACCCATAAATATACTTTTACTCAAATAACTACATCATAAATTATTATAATATAAAGAAATTTTGTCACCTTACAGAGTAGGAGAAGACTGGTGCCGCCATTGATCGGAACGGTGCCCTCAATATGGACACTGGTATTTATTATATACCGGTTTTAAATTCATATAAATAATCTTTAATCTTTTAATTATCGCTTCTGACTGAAATGCAGTAAATATATAAGATTCAGCATGTGTATGTCATATAATTGCAGATTTTGAATTTTTTCTTCCCTTCCAATATAATTTATGAATCTTCAAATGCTCCCATTTAGAATCAAAAGCAAATACTAGAAACTTACGATTACACCTTTTGGTGTAGAAAGCCCTTTAAAGGGTTAAAGGATCACACTCACAGGTATCCATTCCACGGAAAACCAAGACCCATTTCTCACATTCCTTTTGATATCATGATTGGAAGGACTGGACACACAACACCTCCATTCACACAGATCTGTTGCATCTTTCCTTTCAACTAATTTCATACTGTTTTTACACTTGGGACATTCGTACACATTCATAATCAATCCATACACCATTTCTAACACACAACTTTTGCCCTTTATTTTCTCTAGCTCTTCACTACATCTCCTTCATCAAACTTATAAATTATGATTCACATTTCATTGAAAGAAAAAATGCACGATGATTAGTAACTCTAAATTCGCAACACAACTGTTTTATCTATGTGAGAAAAGAATATACCTCCAGTTTGTCAATTGCTTTGTCTAATCTCTTGACCAATTCTCGCAATACGGAATCCGTCTGAATTGCAACATTGAATGGTTCTATCACGTTGGCAAACTGCAATAAACAGAAACGCACACTTATTACGCCTTATTAAAAAACGCAAAACACTCAATAATAAAATTTTAGGTTTTCTACTTAACAGTATAAAATAAATATAAATGTATAAAAATCTACACATACCTCATCCGTCAAAAATTGTTTCAGATCATCCAGCAAATTAAATATATTTTCGTAAAATGCATTATATACTATAGGATATGAATAAAAGTATTTTTAAGAGTCAAAATTTATAATATATAGGTGATCTATTTATGAAATGAAAAACGACAATAATAAATAAAACTCCATAAAAACCACATAAAAATGTATACACAAAACAACAAACTATTACCTCCATCTATGAATATACGAGGATGGAATAAAAAATACTGCGTTTCGTAATCTAAACAAATATCCATTACGTTACGTAGTTTAAATCTCGCAACAATAATCTCTACAGTTACAGTCACCGTCGAAGCTGATTTGAGGGGCGTAGATCGTTAATCAATATTTTTTGCTAAACTACAGGAGAGTCTTTTCAGTCGTTTTTTCAGCTATGGGCCGACTGCAGTTAAGTGAGATTTAAGGAATCACGTCTTATTCTGACGTCATAACTAGTTAAATCGCAATTATTAGAGCTACTAGAGATACAGGCTGACTCGTCAGCAATTTTGAAGCTAAGCTTTAGGGATGCAATTTAGGTTCAGGCACCAATTCTTTGGAGCTGTTCGCTAAAACTTTATTATCTAAAATTTATTAACGTTCTAGAAAATCCGAAATTCAGCTTTTATCTGCACTCATATAAAAATATGGGGCTTTTCTCCCTTCTTTTGTCTGCAGTTCAGATTCTTTCCCGCATTTTTTTTTTTTTTTTTTTTTTTTTTTGTTTTTAAATTGCCAAATTTCTCGTATGATCCAAGTTATTTTAAAAGTTTCTAAAACATTTGCACATATGATATTTCAAATTTGTATATTTTGGTAAAAATACTTTCTTTTTGAATTCCTTAGCCTGTATCTCTAGTAGCTGTAATATGATTGGCTTATTTTAATAAACTTCTCCAACTCTCGAACGAAGGTTATCGTTGTGACAAAGGCCAATTTAACCCAAGGTCCGTAGAAAGAACAGACTTTCTACGGATCTTGAATTTAACCAACAATATATTGTACTGTTACTAGCGATGTGAAATTTAGCTGATGTCCGTTAAGAGAAGATCGTTATTTACTCTCCTTGTCGACTCAAGGGAACGCACGTGAGTGCACTATCCCTGGATAACAAGTGGTCGATTTTCTAACAGTTATTCCATAGCATGAGTTGGAGTATCAGATCGAAACTCTGAGACAGTTCATCCTAAAAGGGAAGTAAAAGTGAGAACATTTCAACAAGTCGAAAGAGTCGTAGACGAAATGTCAACCACAGTCCTGAGCTGCTACACACAAAAAGATAAAACAATAAAGTGCTAAAAATACAAAGCAAGTATTGGCCAGATTTTGGGGGAAAATCAAGAATTCTCAGGTACATAATATAAGAAACAGGTAAAATAGAACATGTGATCAAAAGGAAAATGTGGTGCAAAATCACATATCAAATAGCAGAAATTACATATGAAACGGTACAAAAAATATACGATATTTGTCGGAGACGTAAGATCTTAGTTTCTCTGCACAATGTTGTTAATTTCTTCCAATATCTGGTACAAAATGTTTATTTTCTCACCGAGGTCATTTCCACAGTTTCTCATGTCTGTAATTTTATTCCTGAATATTTAGGTGATTTTGTTTAGGTTACTACCAAATACTTTTTGAAATTCAGTCATTATTTTCATAAGTTCAAATAGATCCCCAATTCCGCTCATTTTAAAATTATTCGTAGGATTCTACCTTGTGTCAGTTAGATCAGTATTCGTATCTACATGTATCAGAACGGGTTTCTGTGTTTGCACGTGTTTCCTTTAAGGCTTAAGGGCCTGTGCGAGGATTTAGCTGTATTTTAGGCTTTCGGGAATTTCCTGCCTCCTCTATAGGAAGCTGGGTGACCTACTTATCCACAGTAAACACACTTAGGCGTATCAGTTTTTCCTTTAATTTCACAGTCACAGCTTTAAAACATTTAACATTTAACACACCTAGGTGAAAACATTTAACACACCTAGGTGCCATGCGGCAGATTTCAGACGAATGATGCCACTTTTGGCAGTTAAAGCATTGAGGTATCTGAAATTTAGATACATATTTCTCAACACTAGTTTCAAAATAGAGATTAGAGAGCTTCCAAATACTCTCAAGTGTATCATTTTGAAGCAGCTGTATTTGAAATGGCATCATAGGAGCTTTAGTATGATTTCTTGTTAACTGCACAATCTTATAAATATTATATCCCCTTTTTTTTCTAGAGCTTTTTGATTTCGCTAACATCCGTAGCAGAGGGGAGACCCGGCAGTAGGATCTTAAGAGGCTTTTCAAGCCTAAAGTTCACTACAAAATGGTCAATAGCTTTTTCTCGAAAAAAATTTGCTGATAATTCTGTGGTCATCTTCAGTATTCGGGAGAATTCTAATAAATTCACCATTAAGTCGACACAAAAACTTAACATTAGGCAGCCTTTCAGAGTTTTTTCGCAAAGTCACCAAATTTTTCATTTTCTTTAGGTCTCACCATAATTGGAGGAATATTGATATTCACCACACGGGGAATAACTTGTTGTGAGCTAGTAGACGCCTGAGAATTAGTGTCCGGACCGTTACGCTCATTGTCATGCATAAGGATATTTTTAACCACAGTATTAAAAAAGATTTGAAGAATCACGTGGTACTCTGACGTCAAATCTCAAGTATTGGTATTCTCATCAAAGCTAGCTTTAAATTCAACCTTTACATTGATAAGACGGCTGTTAAAAGCAGGACGGGTCCGACGCTTCGCCTGCATTCCGGCAATAAAAATGGCAGCAGGTTTTGCTTCAAGAAGAAGCCAAAAAAAAAAAAAGCCAAATTGTAAAAAAATAAAATAAAAATAAATAAATAAATAAAAGGCCAAATTGTATCACCGAGGCTGCTCTCCAATGAATATCCCAAATCATACTATTAATCACTCTTTTCAGCTCTCGGTGGCAATATCGTCTACGTGTGAGCGGTGTCGCCGCTTTTTCGGATGGCCCAAACTACGGGCGGCTAAAACCCGCCGGGAACTGAAGACATTCAACCAATCAGAATAAGCTACCGCCGGAGACTGTTTTTGGCGACCAATTTTTATGCCAGCAATTGAATGGTTTGTTTTGGATTTATTTTCCGCTCATATTCCTCTTTTCGTATCTTTTGATTACGTCTTTTTCGCATCAATTTATAATAGTTTTCTAACTTTTATTGCTATAAAAGACAATGTAGTGAATACGGAAAATTCGGTGGATTATAACGTGAAATGTGTAATAAAATTTCTAGCCTGTTCCCGCAAAAAAAGGTGTACGGTGTTGTATCGCAAAAGTTTTATGCTAAATCGTACATTTCACATTATTTTGTGGCACTGAAAATTACAGAAAGAATTTATTTTTTGATCATCAAGAAAAAAATGCACATGAAAAAGGCTTATTAATTTGGCCTGTGCAGAAGATGTGTTGCTTTTTTCTTTCTTTATATATAAGTATTTATTAGGTACTCAAATTTAGCCAACAAAGCCACATGCAGAACATATATATATATATATTAGAAGATTCCTAAATAATAATAAATAATTTGATTGAACTTTTTCTAAAATGCATTACGTTTTTGTGTGTGATATTTGATTTTTAAGAAATGTAAGTATGTTGAATAAATTGATAGTAAAAATCTCAAATGTACTGTATTTTTGAAAAGGTTAATATGAAATTTAATAAATTGTTTTGTTTATCTAATAAAATCTGGAATTCGAATTTCCATGAGAAATGTACATAATATGTTAAGAAATTTCAATTTTTATATTTGAATCTCAGTTCAATTAAGTACTTGAACTATATGATTTCCAAAATAATATTTTCTCACAGAAGACTAAATGCAGTACTTTTACTAACATAAAGGTGACGGATTAATGCATGTAACAAATAGATTTTTAGAAAAATTGTCATTAGCATAACGTGAGGAGTGTAAAATGGGAAGATCTTTATAATGTAATATAATGATATAATACAGTTGATAATCATCTGAAAAAGTGCCCATGAATGGTAAGACTGCTGAACACTGATAGTTAGGTTTTATATCCTAACTATATGTGATTTGGACACCTTTTGCTTAGCTTATCTGGTCTGATGATCTGTATAAAATGGTAAATGAAAAACAAAGTATTTGTACCCAATATTATAGTCTGATCTGCAAACAAGATTACTGTGGCTGCGGAAACCGACATGCCAGTGAAATTGTTATGTGTCATGTACATATTACACAAAATACATCAGCTAGAGTACTCTTATCAAGCAGTATGGGGACAGGTGCCATATAACCAAATATGTACTACATATCAAACATTTGTAATTATGTATTTTAAAGTTATAGGCTTTCAATACAATTAGAATTTATATTTCTGTAATATTTATGAGTCTTCCCTGAAACATACTTATTTTGCTTAAATCTACTTCCAAAGTACTTTATTTTGATACAACCCATGGTTTAGAAAAATTAATATTTCTAACATTCAAGAGCAGATAAAAGTATGTCATACTTAACTGACAAAAACATATAAAATTAAAATAAGGCAAAAATAGCAGCTTAACATAAAATCTTGTGTCAGTTTTAAGAAATAACTGACGTAGGTCCCTCTTCTTCAATAAAAATGAAAAAAGGTTTTTATTCCTGGCCTTTTGAAGAACAGATATCAGATAACACTCAAAATTAATAAGAATTAAACAAATCCTGCATCATTCTAAAAATTCTTGATTTATTTTAGTCTTGAAATTCATGACCTGACAAATTTTGTGACAACCATATATTTTTGAGAACCTGGGACCACAGGTGAATTTGTTCGAACAGCATTCCAAGTTCTTCGATTACGTGCCTGCAATGACTCTGCATGAAAAATCTACAAATTAAATTCGTCAAAAGCTTTAGAAAGTGAAATCTAATGCATTCAGTAAGTTTGTTCTTTCTATGTGAGGAAATCAGCTTTTTCATTGCCATCAGTTCTACAGTGGAAATGAGCCTGCTTGGCAATTACTCTGAGTTGGAAGAGTCTTGAAATTTCTAAAGATGTCTGCAAATATAGCTTTGATATATACATACAAGTGAAATATCTATTTAGCCTATTCTTAGTATCAGTAATATTAGGTGTTTTCAACATTAAATGGGGTACAAAAAGTCCATTATGATATCTTCAGTGATGAGATGTACGAAGTTTGCACGCGTCCTTTGCTCAATTTGTCGTGCAATTGCAAAACCCATGTTCTTTTTGTTTGCTTATTACTTATTCCAGGGAAAAACGTCTTGCATGCTGTAACCGTACTTTAACATACGTTAAATTTTACATTAAAACATGAAATATAAATACAGTAAGACCCCGCTTAACGCTGTTTCGTTTAGCGCTGTTTCGGTTTAGCGCTCT